TATATATATATAATTTATATATATACGTCTTCTTTATACAACGTTAATGCAATTATTTATGAAAAATGAGATCGCTTTATAAATTCATTTATATTTATCAATATACTTTTATACGCTATCTTACTCTTATAAAAAAAAAAAAAAAAAAATAAAAATAAAAATTGTATCACAGATAAAAAATTTCTAAAATCAATCCTTTTCTTTTTTTTAATTTATTTTTCCATTTGTTTACTTCATTGACGAAGAAGTAAGTATGCCGCTTGAAGAAGTGAATCGACGTATGTATGTATATATAATAATAATAATAATAGTAATAATAATAATAATTATAATATTAATAATAATAAAACTAAAAGCAATAATTAAAAAAAAAAAAAAAATGAAGTACATAATACGAAATTTGAGAGAGATGGTAACTTTTTGCAAGAAATATATAATAATAATAATAATAATAATATCAGATATACCTAATGATTATTTAAAAAAAAAAAAAAAACAAAATATATATTTAATTAATAAATTCTATATATTTTTGTTGTTGCTTGCAAATATTTGCATGACTTAAAAATAATGTCATTTTGTTTTTGTTTTTTTATTATTATTATTATTATTATGAATTTAATTACGATAATTGAACTAAGGTAGGTGTGTATGTGTGTGTGTGTGTGTGTGTGTTAAGCGAATTAGAATTAATTTTTGAATTAAATTGTATGAATTGAGAGAACAATTCGTTTGTTCACAAGTTTTAAGAAAAAAAAAAAGGTGACCTTTTTTCTTTTTTTCTTTTCTTTTCAATTATTATTTTTAAAAGTTAATTAGAGTTATACGAATTATAATTAATTAATAATCCCTCGTTCCATCCGTACTCTGGTAAAAAATATTGCAGTTATTTTCAATCTTACAAAAACAGGAGGTGTGTATGTAAAACCAGATTAAACATTTCATTTTTAAAGTCCGTGATCGTTCGGGTGAATGTGTACACAACACCACACAACACAACACAACGACCAACAACAACAGCACGATATTTTGTACAATATTACATACATACTTACATACATACATACATATACACATGCATGCAGCAGCATCATCATCATCATATACTTATTAGAGATGCAGAAAAAAAAAATATGTCTTTAGTTTTATTTTCAAGATTATTGATATAAACACAGGCAACTCTCTTATTTTATGTTTTTTTTTGTTTTTGTTTTGTTCTTTAGCAGTCATTTTGTTAATGAAAAAAAAAAAAAAAAAAAAAAAAATT